CCGGGATACACCGGGGGGATACACTGGGATACACCGGGATACACCGGGAATTCCGGGGTCAGAAACTCCGGGATACACCGGGGGGATACACCGGGATACACCGGGGGGATACACCGGGATACACCGGGAATCCCGGGAATTCCGGGGTCAGAAACTCCCCCGGGATACACCGGGGGGAAATCCCGGGAATCAGAAACCCCAGGACGGATAATTCCAGGATACAGGAAGAGAAATCCGGGATCAGAAACCCCAGACAATTCCAAGATGGAGAATTTTGGGATGGATAATTTTGGGATGGATAATTTTGGGATGGAGAATTTTGGGATGGATAATTTTGGGATGGATTATTTCAGGATAATTTTGGGATGGAGAATTTTGGGATAATTTTGGGTTGGATAATTTTGGGATGGATAATTTTGGGATGGAGAATTTTGGGATGGATAATTTCAGGATAACTTTGGGTTGGATAATTTTGGGATGGATAATTTTGGGATGGATAATTTTGGGATGGATAATTTTGGGATGGATAATTTTGGGATGGATAATTTCGGGATGGATAATTTCAGGATGGATAATTTTGGGATGGATAATTTCGGGATGGATAATTTTGGGATGGATAATTTTGGGATGGATAATTTCGGGATGGATAATTTTGGGATGGATAATTTTGGGATGGATAATTTCGGGATGGATAATTTCGGGATGGATAATTTTGGGATGGATAATTTCGGGATGGATAATTTTGGGATGGATAATTTTGGGATGGATAATTTCGGGATGGATAATTTTGGGATGGATAATTTTGGGATGGATAATTTTGGGATGGATAATTTTGGGATGGATAATTTTGGGATGGATTATTTCGGGATGGATAATTTCAGGATAATTTTGGGATGGATAATTTTGGGATGGATAATTTTGGGATGGATAATTTTGGGATGGATAATTTCAGGATGGATAATTTCAGGATAATTTTGGGATGGATAATTTTGGGATGGATAATTTTGGGATGGATAATTTTGGGATGGATAATTTTGGGATGGATAATTTTGGGATGGATAATTTTGGGATGGATAATTTTGGGATGGATAATTTCGGGATGGATAATTTTGGGATGGATAATTTTGGGATGGATAATTTCGGGATGGATAATTTTGGGATGGATAATTTCGGGATGGATAATTTCGGGATGGATAATTTTGGGATGGATAATTTCGGGATGGATAATTTTGGGATGGATAATTTTGGGATGGAAAATTTTGGGATGCATAATTTTGGGATGGATAATTTTGGGATGGATTATTTCAGGATAATTTTGGGATGGATAATTTTGGGATGGATAATTCCGGGATGGATAATTTTGGGATGGATTATTTCAGGATAATTTTGGGTTGGATAATTTTGGGATGGATAATTTTGGGATGGATAATTTTGGGATGGAGAATTTTGGGATGGATAATTCCGGGATGGATAATTTCGGGATGGATAATTTTGGGATGGATAATTTCGGGATGGATAATTTCGGGATGGATAATTTTGGGATAATTTTGGGATAATCCCAGGATGGATTATTTCAGGATGGATAATTTTGGGATGGATAATTTTGGGATGGAGAATTTCGGGATGGATAATTTTGGGATGGATAATTTTGGGATGGAGAATTTCGGGATGGATAATTTTGGGATGGATAATTTCAGGATAATTTCAGGATAATCCTGGGATGGATAATTTCGGGATAATTTCGGGATAATTTTAGGATGGATAATTTGGGGATGGACAACTTTGGGATGGATAATTTCAGGATGGATAATTTAGAGATGGATAATTTAGGGATAATCCTGGGATGGATAATTTGGGGATAATTTTGGGATAATCCCAGGATGGATAATTTTGGGATGGAGAATTTTGGGATGGATAATTTTGGGATATTTTGGGATGAATAATTTTGGGATAATTTTGGGATGGATAATTTTGGGTTGGATAATTTTGAGATGGATTATTTCAGGATAATTTTGGGATGGATAATTTCGGGATGGATAATTTTGAGATGGATAATTTTGGGATGGATAATTTCGGGATGGATAATTTTGGGATGGATAATTTCGGGATGGATAATTTCGGGATGGATAATTTTGGGATGGATAATTTCGGGATGGATAATTTTGGGATGGATAATTTTGGGATGGAAAATTTCGGGATGGATAATTTTGGGATGGATAATTTCGGGATGGATAATTTTGGGATGGATAATTTTGGGATGGAAAATTTTGGGATGCATAATTTTGGGATGGATAATTTTGGGATGGATTATTTCAGGATAATTTTGGGATGGATAATTTTGGGATGGATAATTCCGGGATGGATAATTTTGGGATGGATTATTTCAGGATAATTTTGGGTTGGATAATTTTGGGATGGATAATTTTGGGATGGATAATTTTGGGATGGAGAATTTTGGGATGGATAATTCCGGGATGGATAATTTCGGGATGGATAATTTTGGGATGGATAATTTCGGGATGGATAATTTCGGGATGGATAATTTTGGGATGGATAATTTCGGGATGGATAATTTCGGGATGGATAATTTTGGGATGGATAATTTCGGGATGGATAATTTCGGGATGGATAATTTTGGGATGGATAATTTCGGGATGGATAATTTTGGGATGGATAATTTTGGGATGGATAATTTTGGGATGGATAATTTTGGGATGGATAATTTTGGGATGGATAATTTTGGGATGGATTATTTCAGGATAATTTTGGGATGGATAATTTTGGGATGGATAATTCCGGGATGGATAATTTTGGGATGGATTATTTCAGGATAATTTTGGGTTGGATAATTTTGGGATGGATAATTTTGGGATGGATAATTTTGGGATGGAGAATTTTGGGATGGATAATTTCGGGATGGATAATTTCGGGATGGATAATTTTGGGATAATTTTGGGATAATCCCAGGATGGATTATTTCAGGATGGATAATTTTGGGATGGATAATTTTGGGATGGAGAATTTCGGGATGGATAATTTTGGGATGGATAATTTTGGGATGGAGAATTTCGGGATGGATAATTTTGGGATGGATAATTTCAGGATAATTTCAGGATAATCCTGGGATGGATAATTTCGGGATAATTTCGGGATAATTTTAGGATGGATAATTTGGGGATGGACAACTTTGGGATGGATAATTTCAGGATGGATAATTTAGAGATGGATAATTTAGGGATAATCCTGGGATGGATAATTTGGGGATAATTTTGGGATAATCCCAGGATGGATAATTTTGGGATGGAGAATTTTGGGATGGATAATTTTGGGATATTTTGGGATGAATAATTTTGGGATAATTTTGGGATGGATAATTTTGGGTTGGATAATTTTGAGATGGATTATTTCAGGATAATTTTGGGATGGATAACTTTGGGATGGATAATTTTGGGATGGATAATTTTGGGATAATTTCGGGATGGGGAATTCCGGGTACCGTTGGAGCAGGAGCTGCACCAGCCCCAGGTGGCCGCAGGTGGCGGCGGCGTGCAGCGGCGTCCAGAGCTCGGCGTCGCGCGCGTTGACGTCGGCGCCGGAATCCAGGAGCAGCCGGACCAGCGGGAGCGAGTCGTCGATGCAGCTCTGGTGGGAATGATGGGAATGGCGGGAACAATGGGAATGGGGGGAACAATGGGAATGGGAGCAATGAGAATGGGAACAATGGGAAAGGGGGAACAATGGGAATGGGAGCAATGAGAATGGGAACAATGGGAAAGGGGGAACAATGGGAATGGGAGCAATGAGAATGGGAACAATGGGAAAGGGGGAACAATGGGAATGGGAGCAATGAGAATGGGAACAATGGGAAAGGGGGAACAATGGGAATGGGAGCAATGAGAATGGGAACAATGGGAAAGGGGGAACAATGGGAATGGGAGCAATGAGAATGGGAACAATGGGAAAGGGGGAACAATGGGAATGGGAGCAATGAGAATGGGAACAATGGGAAAGGGGGAACAATGGGAATGGGAGCAATGAGAATGGGAACAATGGGAAAGGGGGAACAATGGGAATGGGAGCAATGAGAATGGGAACAATGGGAAAGGGGGAACAATGGGAATGGGAGCAATGAGAATGGGAACAATGGGAAAGGGGGAACAATGGGAATGGGAGCAATGAGAATGGGAACAATGGGAAAGGGGGAACAATGGGAATGGGAGCAATGAGAATGGGAACAATGGGAAAGGGGGAACAATGGGAATGGGAGCAATGAGAATGGGAACAATGGGAAAGGGGGAACAATGGGAATGGGAGCAATGAGAATGGGAACAATGGGAAAGGGGGAACAATGGGAATGGGAGCAATGAGAATGGGAACAATGGGAAAGGGGGAACAATGGGAATGGGAGCAATGAGAATGGGAACAATGGGAAAGGGGGAACAATGGGAATGGGAGCAATGAGAATGGGAACAATGGGAAAGGGGGAACAATGGGAATGGGAGCAATGAGAATGGGAACAATGGGAAAGGGGGAACAATGGGAATGGGAGCAATGAGAATGGGAACAATGGGAAAGGGGGAACAATGGGAATGGGAGCAATGAGAATGGGAACAATGGGAAAGGGGGAACAATGGGAATGGGAGCAATGAGAATGGGAACAATGGGAAAGGGGGAACAATGGGAATGGGAGCAATGAGAATGGGAACAATGGGAAAGGGGGAACAATGGGAATGGGAGCAATGAGAATGGGAACAATGGGAAAGGGGGAACAATGGGAATGGGAGCAATGAGAATGGGAACAATGGGAAAGGGGGAACAATGGGAATGGGAGCAATGAGAATGGGAACAATGGGAAAGGGGGAACAATGGGAATGGGAGCAATGAGAATGGGAACAATGGGAAAGGGGGAACAATGGGAATGGGAGCAATGAGAATGGGAACAATGGGAAAGGGGGAACAATGGGAATGGGAGCAATGAGAATGGGAACAATGGGAAAGGGGGAACAATGGGAATGGGAGCAATGAGAATGGGAACAATGGGAAAGGGGGAACAATGGGAATGGGAGCAATGAGAATGGGAACAATGGGAAAGGGGGAACAATGGGAATGGGAGCAATGAGAATGGGAACAATGGGAATGGGGGAACAATGGGAATGGGAGCAATGAGAATGGGAACAATGGGAATGGAAACAATGGGATTTGGAATGGGAACAATGGGAATGGGAACAATGGGATTTGGGATGGGATTGGGATTGGGATTCCATGGTCCAGGAGCAGCCGGACCAGCGGGATGGAGCCATCGATGCAGCTCTGGGAATGATGGGAATGGCGGGAATGATGGGAAAATGGGAATAGTGGGAATGGGGTGGGAATGGGAATAATGGGAACGGGAATGGGAATGGGAACAGGAATGGGAATGGGAATGGGAATGGGAATGGGAACAGGAATGGGAATGGGACTGGGAATGGGGCAGGAATAACAGGAACGGGAATGGGAACAGGAATGGGAATGGGAATGGGAACGGGGCAGGAATAACAGGAATGGGAACAGGAATGGGAATGGGAATGGGAACGGGGCAGGAATAACGGGAAGGGGAACAGGAATGGGAATGGGATTGGGAATGGGTCAGGAATAACGGGAAGGGGAAGGGCGGTGCTGGCATGCCGGAGGTCAATGGGACGGGAACGGCGCCGAGCCGGGATCTCGGGATCGGGGATCCCGGGGTTTGGGATCTCGGGATCCGGGATCTCGGGATTTGGAATCTCTGGGATTTGGGATCTCTGGGATTTGGGATCTCGGGGTTTGGGATCTCGGGGTTTGGGATGGGAAAGATTTGGCATTCCTGGGATGAGGAAGGGTCTGGGATCACCAGGGATGGGAGACGGAAAAACCCAGATTTGGGAAAGCAGCGCTCAGGAACACCCGGAGACGGGGTGGGAAGGGCCGGGATTTGGGATCAGCGGGATCTGGGATCAGTGGAATTTGGGATCTCTGGGATCTGGGATCACCGGGGTTTGGGATGGGAAGGGCCTGGGATCACCAGGATCTGGGATCACCAGGATTTGGGATTTCTGGGATTTGGGGTTTCTGGGATCCGGGATCATCAATTAATGGGATGGGAAGGGCCTGGATTTGGGATCTCTGGGATTTGGGATCACTGGGATTTGGAATTCCTGGGATCTGGGATCACCAATGAATGGGATGGGATGAGCCGGGATCTGGGATCACCAGGATTTGGGATTACCAATAATTGGGATGGGAAGGGCCTGGATTTGGGATCAGCGGGATCTGGGATTTCTGGGATTTGGGATCACCGGGATCTCTGAGATTTCTGGGATCGTCAGGAATTGGGATGGGAAGGGCCTGGATTTGGGATCACCGGAATTTGGGATCACCGGGATTCAGGATCAGCAGGATTTGGGATCTCTGGGATTTGGGATTTCTGGGATTTGGCATCTCTGGGATTCGGGATCAACGGGATTTGGGATCAGCGGGATTTGGGATCTCTGGGATTCGGGATCAGCGGGATCTGGGATCACCAATCAACGGGATGGGAAGGACGTGGACATCGGGATTTGGGATGGGAAACGCCCGGATCTGGGATCACCGGGATTTGGGGATGAAGGGATGGAGCTGGGATGGAAAATCCCCGGATCCGGGAGATCGGAGTCAGCGCCGGGAAGGAGCCGGATCCTCCCGGGATTGGCGGGAAGGAGCCGGCTCCGGAACCCCGGGAGGGCGGGGATTCCCCGGGAATTGCCGGGAATTGCCGGGAATTGCGGGAATACCTGGTGCAGCGCCGTCAGCCCGTCCTCGTTGCACAGGTCGGGGCTGATCCCGCTCTCCAGGAACTGCCGGACTGCGGAGGGACGGGAAGGGAGTGGGAATTCCCACCGGGAATGCCGGGGGAATCCCAGGGGAGCATCCCGAGGGACGTTCCAAGGGTCCCGGTGGGAGTTCCAGGGATCCCAGTGGGAATTCCAGGGATCCCAGTGGAAATTCCAAGAATTCCAGTAGGAATTCCACCAAGGATCCCAATGGGAATTCCAAGGATCCCAATGGAAATTCCAAGGATCCCAACAGAAATTCCAATGAAAATTCCTCGGATTCCAGTGGAAATTCCAGGGATTTCAATGAAAAATTCCAAGGATCCCAATGGGAATTCCACCACGGATTCCTATGGAAATTCCAAGAATCCCAATGGGAATTCCACCACGGATTCCTATGGAAATTCCAAGAATCCCAATGGGAATTCCAAGAATTCCAGTGGAAATTCCAGAGATTCCAATGGGAATTCCAAGGATCCCAATGGGAATTCCAGGGATTCCAGTGGGAATTCCTAGGATCCCAATGGAAATTCCAAGGGTATCAACGGGAATTCCAAGGATTCCAGTGGAAATCCTGGGGATCCCAATGGAAATTCCAAGGATTCCAGTGGAAATTCCAAGGATCCCAATGCAAATTTCAATGAAAATTACAAGACACCCAATAGAAATTCCAAGGATTCCACTGGAAATTCCAATGGCAATTCCAATGGCAATTCCAATGGAAATTCCGAGGATCCCAATGGGAATTCCCAGGCTATCAACAGCAATTCCAAGGATTCCAGTGGAATCATGGATTATCCCAGTAGAAATTCCAAGGTTTCCAATGGGAACCACCAGGAATCCCAATGGAATCATGGAATATGCCAATGGCAGTTCCAAGGATTCCAGTGGAAATTCCAATGGAAATTCCAATGGAAATTCCAACTCTTCTTCCAATGGGAATTCCAAGGATTCCAATGAAAATTCCAATGGAAATTCCAAGGATTCCAATGAAAATTCCAAGAATCCAAATGGAAATTCCAATAGAAATTCCAATGGAAATTCCAAGGATTCCAACAGAAATCCCAATGGGAATTCCAATGGAAATTCCAAGGATCCCACTGGAAATTCCAAGACACCCAATGGAAATTCTGATGGAAATTCCAATGGAAATTCCAAGGATCCCAATGGAAATTCCAGTGGAAATTCCAAGACACCCAATGGAAACTCCTAAGATCCCAATGGAAATTCCACTGGAAATTCCACTGGAAATTCCAAGGATCCCATGGAAATTCCAATGGAAATTCCAATGGAAATTCCAATGGAAATTCCAATGGAAATTCCAATGGAAATTCCACTGGAAATTCCAAGGATCCCACTGGAAATTCCAATGGAAATTCCAATGGAAATTCCAATGGAAATTCCAATGGAAATTCCAAGGATTCCAACAGAAATCCCAATGGAAATTCCAATGGAAATTCCAAGGATCCCACTGGAAATTCCAATGGAAATTCCACTGGAAATTCCAAGGATCCCATGGAAATTCCAATGGAAATTCCAAGGATCCCACTGGAAATTCCAATGGAAATTCCAATGGAAATTCCAATGGAAATTCCAATGGAAATTCCAAGGATTCCAACAGAAATCCCAATGGAAATTCCAATGGAAATTCCAAGGATCCCAATGGAAATTCCAATGGAAATTCCAAGACACCCAATGGAAACTCCTAAGATCCCAATGGAAATTCCAATGGGAATTCCAATGGAAATTCCAAGGATCCCAATGGAAATTCCAATGGAAATTCCAAGGATCCCAATGGGAACTCCAAGGCTCCACCTCCCCATTCCCATTCCCGCTTCCTTCCCACACCAAACCCAAAACCCGCCGGGGGAAGGAAATTCCTCCCTTTTTTTCCCTTTTTTTCCCGCACCTTCCTCGGCGTCGCGCCGCGCCGCCGCTTCCAGGAGCCGGACGCTGGCCGGGAACGTCACCCTCTTCCCGCTTTTCCTCCTCCTCCTCCTCCTCCGCTCGCTTCCCGCTCCCATTCCCGGCGTTTCCTTCTCCGCCTGCGCCCACTTGCGCAGCTGCTGCGCCCGGCGTTTCTGCGCGTGCCGGAGCCGCTCCGGGGTGCTGAGCCGGGAAACCGCCGGCATCTCCGCCAGCAGCTCCTGGTGCTCCGCCATGATCCGGCAATTCCCGGGAAAACCTCGGGAATGAGGGCCGGGAGCATCACCCCCGCCGGTTCCCGGCGGGTTTTTATCCCTCTATCCCGAGGGTTTCGTCGGGATCGGGAGAGGATCGGGGTTTTGGGAGCATTTCCCGTTGTTTTTAATTCCCGTCCGAGGGTGGGATTCCCGGCGGATCCGATGGTTGGGTGGATTTTTTTCCTTGTTTGACGATTCCCGGGGTTTTTTTCTCTTCCTGGGAAGACGCCGTGGGATGAATCCTAAGGATTTAAAAAAAAATTGGGATTGTTAAATCCAGGGAGAGGCCCAAGCCACGGCCGGTTTTCCCGGTTTTCCTAATCCGGGATTGACCTCGAATCCAACCGGAATTCCCAAGGTTGGGAAACTCCCAAAAAACCAAAAAAAAAACCACACCCAAAAAAAAACCCCCTGGAGATCGCAGATTTTTTTGGGGTGTTTTTTTTTGGGAATGGATCGCCGGGAAAATTGATCCGAAGGGGATCCAGGAGAATTCCGGGAGCGGAAAAACCGGGAGCGCCTCCGCCCCCGAGGGCAGGGCCGGGCGGATTCCGGAGGATTCCGGCGGAGCGAGATTCCCAAGGCGGGTTCTTCCCTCCCCGGAGCGGGCAAAGTCCGGCCAGGGGGAAAGGGGGAAAGAATTCCCTTAATCCCGGGGTAAATCCCTTTGGAATGCCGAGGGAAAAGCCGGGGAGAAAGGGGACAGGGATGGATCCCGTTGGGATTCCGAATCCGTGGGAGAACGGAGCTGGGATCTTCAGCTCCTTTTGAAAATGCCACAAATGGCAAATTCCACTGAAGCAGCCCCAAAATTCCCAGAAACAGCTTCCAAAAATTCCCAGAAACAGCTCCCAAAATTCCCAGAAACAGTCACCAAAATTCCCTGGAAATAGCCCCAAAATTCCCTGGAAACAGACTCAAAAATCTCAGAAAAAGCACCCAAATTCCCTGGAAAAAGACCCAAAATTCCCAGAAAAATCCCCAAAAATTCCTTGGAAACAGCCTCCAAAAATTCCCAGAAAAAGCCTCCAAAATTCCCAGAAACAGCCCCCAAAAATTCCCTGGAAACAAACCCAAAATTCCTAGAAAAAGCCCCAAAATTCCCAGAAAATCCCCCAAAATTCCCAGAAAAATCCTCCAAAATTCCCACAAAACCCCCCCAAAATTCCTTGGAAACAGCCTCCAAAAATTCCCAGAAAAATCCCTCAAAATTCCCAGAAAAAGACCCAAAATTCCCAGAAAAAAATCCCCCAAAATTCCCAGAAAAATCTCCCAAAATTCCCAGGAACAGCCCCCAAAAATTCTGGGGGTTTGGGAATCCGGGAATTCGCCACCGGATCCCGTCGGGCTCTGGCTCCGGCCAATTTCCCTTTCAAATTTCCTTTTCCAAAAGCCAACTCCTGATCTTTTATTTATCGGGATTTACGTAAATCCGCCGGGACGGATTCGGTGTCACCCCAAGGCCACCCCCACCCCCCGTGTCCCCAAAAAACGGGGACAATCCACCCCAAATACTGGCATTTGTCCCCAAATTTCCCCTGAGGGGACCCCAATGTCCCAAATCCACCCCAAATCCTGGGATTTGTCCCCAAACCCCTCCTGAGGGGACCCCAATGTCCCCAAAGTCCCCTCAAATCCAGGATTTTGTCCCCAAACTTCCCCTGAGGGAACCCCAATGTCCCAAATCCACCCCAAATCCCTGAACTTGTTCCCAATGTCCCCAAAGTCCCCCCAAATCCTGGGATTTGTCCCCAAACTTCTCCTGAGGGGACCCCAATGTCCCCAAACCACCCCAAATCCTGGGAATTTGTCCCCAAAGTCCCCTCAAATCCTGGGATTTGTCCCCAAAGTCTCCTCAAATCCAGGGATTTGTCCCCAAACTCCTCCTGAGGGGACCCCAATGTCCCCAAAGCCCCCGAATTTGTCCCAAAACCCCTCCTGAGGGGACCCCAATGTCCCCAAAGCCCCCGAATTTGTCCCCAAACTTCCCCTGAGGAGACCCCACTGTCCCCAAAGTCCCCCCGAATCCTGGGATTTGTCCCCAAAGCCCCCTCAAATCCAAGAATTTGTCCCCAAACCCCACCTGAGGAAACCCCAATGTCCCCAAAGTCCCCCCAAATTCTGGGATTTGTCCCCAATGTCCCCAGAGTCCCCCCAAATCCAAGAATTTGTCCCAAACCCTCCATGAGGGGACCCCTGTGTCCCCAAAGTCCCCCGTGAAGGGACCCCAATGTCCCCCCAAATCCAGGAATTTGTCCCCAAACTTCCCCTGAGGGGACCCCCATGTCCCCAAATGTCCCCTCACCGCCCCCCCAATGTCCCCAATGT